AAAAAAAAATGAGCTGTGGAATACAGATCCACTCTCTTTCCAAAATAAATGCTTCACATGTTAAATAACTCACTATCAAAGTGATTCTACTGGTGAGTCCACAGTGAGGTTCATTTCTAGGTTGTTTTCACAAGAAGGCAGTAGAAGATGACAATGGAAAGAAAGAAGATGCAAGAATTGATGGAAGATTTGCCTAAGGAAAACGAGGACGCTATCAAAAGCAAAAGTGGCACATATGTGGTACTTAACGCTGATTAAACCCTAATCTTTGGCCCTAGTGAATGCTATACGCATTCCAGATACTTGATATACTTGGAAAAGGGGCATTTGGGGCCGTTTTTCGTGTTCGTCGACTAGAAGATAGAAAAGAATTGGCAATGAAATGTGAATCATGCAGAACACAGAGAAAAGTAAGTTAGAGAAGTAAATTATTTGTGTAGTAAATTTTTTTATTCAGATATTAAAACATGAAGCTAAAGTATTCGAAAGTTTAAAGCAGTTGGAATCACCACATTTTCTTCACCTGCTAGATCGGGGCAAAGTATCGGGACGTTTCAATTTTATCGTTATTAAATTGGTAAGATTTTCGTAAGAAACAGCTGTCTTCAGCATGAAATGGGAAAAAATTGGCTGTGATAATTTATTTAAGACTATTCTTTCCTTGCTTTTGTTAAGTTATAAACTAAAGGCAGGTTAGTTTTTTTGCAGGTTGGCAAGAATTTGTGGGATTTACGTATAGAAAATCCGTTTCGTCGATTTTCGTTAGTAACGTCACTACGAGCTGCTGAACAGACACTAGCTGGAATTCGAGATTTACATATTGTACGTTAATTACGCGACATAATCAAGTCTAATATACATTCTGTGTAAAGAGAAGTGGCACTTGAAAATGCGGACCAAGCGCGAATAAGAACAGATAGTGAGGTGGAGCAAAGAGGCGATTTGCCACTGTTTCACGTCACACGCGCCGTGAAGGACTGATGAAAGGTTCTAGGAGTTCAACCTATCATAAATTTACGTTCATTCTTACTCTGCCTTCTTTTTAAGCTATAATTGCTAGGCGCCATGGACGCTGTTGCTTGTTAGGGTACATAGCAGCGCACGCACGCAACGCACTCTCGTTGTTGCCTTTAGTGCGCTTGTTCATTGCGCCAAAGGTAGATCAGCGATTCGCGCTATATGGGCGATACAATACCCGAGTCAACAAATCTCCTATATATATATATAAAGCAGAAAGTCTGAATGTATGTATTTATGTATGTATGTATGTTCGGAATACAAATTTTTGCATCTGAACCGAAAAAGCCCAGATGCACACATACATTTCAGACGCCGGCGGGTACCATAGGCTATTTTGTACAGTAATTAGACATTTGATGGCGTTGATTTGCGCATTTGGCCAAATTACGTCATTTTCAAGAATGAAGTGATATCAATCGTTATCAGACTACCTAAGCAAGATCATGCAAATCGATGTGGTTACTGAATGAAAGTACCTCAGTGCGGAGTGGTTGCTTATTTGAATCAATGGGAAAGGCGTGGTGAGGTGTGGGGCAAAATAACTAAGTTACGCACTTGGCAATTAGTTCAACAAATGGAAAAATTCTAAACGCAGAGCGGATACATATATCGCTAGTAAGTGCCAGGTCCCACTCCCAAAGTTTTTAAGGTTTCGCAATTGAGCCCTATAAACACAATACGCTGAATGCTGTTCGATCATATCAAGATAGCTGCACTTTTCTGCATACTTTGTATCAACCACATAATGCATACCCTCAATTTCAAGTGCTATTTAACAAATGCGTTAAATTATGCCTACACAAATGAGCAGCAGGCAGAATTAGATGAGATAGATTGGTCAGATGCAAAAACAGCGCAGAAAACATAAAAAGCCGAGCGAAGCCGGATATGCCAGCTAGTGAGGAATAAATTGCATCTTAATTCATTTTGTTTCAGTGTGGCTTCATTCATCGCGATATTAAGCCTCCTAACTTCGCAGTAGGTCGGGAGGAAGACGGTGATCAACACATAATCTACATATTTGATTTTGGATTGAGTCGGCAATACAGGTAATTAGTCTGTTTCGATTGGGATAGACTAGTACTATATGCACTGGTCTATCATAAGCCTCCAAAATGAGTTTCTTATTTTGATGTTAGTATGCCGTAACAGGTTTGTATAGGAGCACCTTTATTATGCTTGACGTTTCGGCTTGACGTCGTCCTTAGAGGCCTAAAAGTGAGCCACTTACCTATCAGATGCTTATATCACCAGATACGTCTGCCACATCATGCATTCGACTCTTCCTTAATGACTGCGGCTAGCTTCCAAGCTCCTGCCACATCACGCATTCGACTCTTCCCTAATGACTGCGGCTAGCGTCCAAGTTCAGAGGTGCTTGGTGACATACGGCTTTGATAGGTAAATTACTTACTTTCATGCCTATGACGGCATCAAGCTGAAACGTCAGGCGTAATAAAGGTGCTCCTATGCAAACCTGCCACGGCTTAGAAAACATCAAGATCAAATCACAATCATGCAGGTTTCAAGATGAACGATTTTATAAGTTGCTTTTCAAACTTTCTTTTTTGGATATTTCTTATTGGGGTGACTGCTTCACGAAAGACTAAAAAGCACTTCCTTCCAGAAGTTTTGGGAAAGACTTGCGATATCAACGAGCTAAAGCTGCTTTTAGAGGGACAACACGATACGCAAGCATAGCCGCACTAGAACTAGTCAGTCCTCCAAAAGTTTTTATGTATGGTTCACCGCCTAGGCACCTGGCATGGGGGTTTCAGAAAGATCAAAGCCGTAAAGACGATGTTGAATCGTGGTGGTATATGGTCGTTGAATGGACTATAGGGCATTTACCATGGCATCACTGCAAGGTAGGTCCAGAAGAGGAACACCGCATAGCTTCCCTTTTTATAGAAATCATGTTCGTAGTTTAGGGAGGAGAAAGGGAGAGTGTAAGAAAACAGAAATTACAGCTACGTGAACGTTCAAATCTTGAGAGGGTACAACTTCTACACGTTACGATTGGGGCTCAGAATTTGTAGTTTTAGGTACTCAAGAATGCTCCAGTGGAATATATGTCTAATATTATTCTCTATATTGATACCTTGTCCTACGCATCCATCCCAGATTATGACCACATCGCAGCACAGCTTGAAGCGTCCATGGAGGTAAACAGTGCAGCAGTCAGTGTACATGTGGTGTGATTGCACAAATCATATACTAATGAGAAATAATAATAAATAAAAGTCCGTGGCATATTAACTTTATTTAAATTGAACCTTTCAGGCATATAATTTGAAATATGCCGATCCACCTGAATGGGATACACTGTCTGCGTATCTGGGACCAAAATATGAGAAGAACATGCCATATGAATTGAAATGTAGAATTTTTTTTCCCATTTCTTTTTCTTGATCGGACGGCAACACCTGTCACAATTTATCACAGATGTATTTCAGCTCAAACTTTAGAATAATTACGAAGAACTGAATCTCTCTTATACAAGTTAAATGTGATGCAAGTTTGAATAAATATTTGACAATTGTTTCA